CACTGGCCCAGGTTGCCCAGAGAGGTGGTGGATGCCCCATCCCTGGAAACATTCCAGGTCAGGCTGGACGGGGCTCTGAGCAACCTGATCTAGTTGAAGATGTCCCTGCCCACGGCAGGGGGCTTGGACTAGATGACCTTTAGAGGTCCCTTCCAACCCAAACGATTCTATGATTTTTGGTGTGCAGGAAATGCATGATTGAACCAGAGTTTTGTTCTGTTTCTGATCAAAACCCATTTAGTTTATGTAACTGTGTGGGTCTTTGCTGGAGGTTGCCAGGTGGAAGCTAAACATCCTGCTGGGGTCTCGGGGACGGAGAGGGCATCGGTCCGTGCTCCCCGAGGCTCCAAGTGACTTGATAGCCAAGACTGAATGGGAATGCATATATCTCTCTACATCAGAACTTGTTCTTAGAGAGGATGGCTGTAACATGCTTCAAAGCCCAAAGCTATCCACAGCAGGGCTGTCTTGTCCTGCGTTTGTGTAGCAGCAGGTGTCCAGGGAGCCTGACCTCTGGCTGGAGCTTTAAGCAGCACTGAATCATAGAATCATAGAATCGTTTAGGTTGGAAAAGACCTTTAAGATCATCGAGTCCAACCGTCGAGATACCAGTCAGAAATAGGAATAAAATAACTTGTTCTGTATCCTGTGCGGACATAGCTGCAGCCACATGCACAGTCACAAACCAAGCACTGGAAGGGCTGCTCAGATGTTGCCGACCCAGAAAGCGACCTGCTTAGTGATCGTGGAGACCACAGGCTAAGGCAGTGGGGTTCTGTTTTCCACAGTCTTAAGAAGCTTTTATCAGATTTTTTTATCATTGTGACCTGGAGTGGGCACAACCAAGTCTACAGCATCCATGTGGTACCTCATATTCCCGGGGTGAATGAAAAGCTATGTCACTCAAATCAAAGGAACCGTCCCTGCTTTAACTAGGGATTTGAGTGTTTGCTTCATTTACGTACATCTATCACAAATTGGCAGATAGCTTATCTATGTTCAGCCTGTTCTTTACTGATAGATAGCTGAATCCTTTTATGGCTGATAAAAAATTTACACATCTGTCTTCCCAGTATACCTCTGGAGAGAAGCCCTTTTGCACGGCTGATGCAATGCTTTCTGAAAACAGGTTCCTTGAACATTTAAATGACACTGTCCTAAGCTGTGCAGTGACTTAGGCATTTACAGTGCAGCACAGGGAAGCTCCAGAAAACAGTAGGAAAAAAGCCAACAACAGCAAAACCACATCCATCACTTTTGCTCCCTCTCCTCTTAAAGTACTTCATTCTTTCCTCAGCTTACATATGAATATGCAAAGCTCTACAGAAAGCTGTGGTTTCTCAGCAGGCCCTGCTTTCATAGTCTGTGCTTCTAAGAACTCTGAGGCAGGAAAAACAGCTTCCAAAGACTGAATCAGGATGCTGCAGGGCCTTCAGGAATTATTAGGAATGATGCTGGGGGCATTTATATCTCAGACAAATAAGGAAGAGGGAAAGACATGCTAAGCTGTAGGACTGAACATATAAGACCATGTTGAATCAGTATAAAGCAGATTCTACACGTGTCGTGAAATAGGATGACAGGGAGAATAAGGCTGTTGTGTATTACAGGTGGAGGGGACAGGGTGTCAGACCAGGAATTGTAGTGTCAGCCCACAGAAAACTGGGACTTTGCTGCACCGACCAGTGTTAACTGTGGGTTGAAGCTGTCGGTCCCGGGTCCAGCTATTGTACACTGCCTCTGCAGGGAGCGTACAGGTGTCTCTTGATGCAGCATCGCGCCGATAAAAAAGTAGGTTTGTTGCTCCCCAGCAGGGGCAAGAAAACATGGACCAACCTATGCTAAATCAATGCCTAAATTTCCACATTAGTCTCTCTCAAAGGGAAGTTCCAGGTTCCAGCTGACTGCGTCACCACTAAGTGTCCAGAAATCCTCATCGTTCTTACAGATAACACCTGTCAAGAAACAGATTTTGTTTATCTCTCCATATGTAAAATACATGGGGACGTAATGGTCTTTAAACGCTGAAGTTTTTAACTAGCCAGGTAGGAATTGCCACAATAGAGTGATACTGGATCTTCTATTCTACTTAAGGTTTACACAGCCAGGGCTTTGCATGCCAAGGCTGCAAAAGACAATTGGCACTGAAATTTGAGAAGCACCAGTTTCTATGTCTTTGCCATTTGCTCTCCCTTGCCATTGACTTCCTGCACAAAGGAGTCTATTGTTCGGGTGCCTTACCCACTGCTGCATACATTAATCCCATTCTTTCATAGGGTTTGCCGTTCCCACTGCCCTTTGCTGGAAGACGTTTGAGTTCCTTTCTGCTTTAGCAACAGCAGAATCTGCCAGCTGGCTTTCTGTTATGTTTAGGCCAGGTGGGTTTGAAGGACTGTGCTGCACTGAAAGCACCTCGGTCACCGTATTTAACATTTCCCTTTCCCTTTCTTCTGGCTTTTCTTGTCTGTGTTTCATTCACGCTCTACAAGTTTGAATTGTAATTCTGGCAGATTTTATAGACTCCGTGGGCTGACCTATTGCTAAAAGGTGAACCTACAGTGGACACGGAGATGCTGATGCTGACATCTGAATCGATAATGACTGATTCTTCAGTATGGTGAGGGCGAGTTCTTCATTGCCTTTGATGGATACTCAGCTAGTGTAAATCAGTACACTACATGTGATGTCAGAGGCATTACACACTGATTGATGCTGGCGTTTGGTTTCTGGAGAAAGAAAAAACTGAGTGGGCATAAAAGTTCCCATACTTTTCACTATGAACTCCACTCCCCTGTGAAAATTCTGCACAGCACAGTTTCAGCTGCAGTAAGTTCCTTTTCTTCTCTTCCCATCCTGAGCTGTTAATGCCAGGGTTTCACTGTGCAGCAAAAGCGCAGGCAATACAGGTGCCGTGTCTTGATGCTGGACAATGGAACTGGAGAAGAAGACGAATCCTACGCTTCATAGCTGACTGACTGAACGCTCTATTTAATTCCTAGCACCAGAGCCTGTGTCAACCGTGCTATACTGCTGGCGTTAGACATCTGGCCAACATCATACTTAGTATTTGACGATATCGCATTCGTACCTTAAAGTTTTCATCAATTAAAAAGTCACAGCCGATGAGATCAAAGTAGCCCAGTTTGCGATCCAGTTTGTGCTTGGCTGCCAGGAAGCACTGCAACATGATCTGCTGCATCCTTTTCTGAAACAGAAGACAGGGAACGGCGGTAACTGGTCATTGTGAACGCCAAGGGCATAGGAGTCACGGTAAGTCATAGGTGCCCTCCTGGTTTAGGGACATTTTTTCTTCCCCTGCCTCCAGCAGCGCCCTTCTCTAGACTTGGAAGGATGTCGCATTTTTCAGGCCATATGTCTGTCCACTTTGAGTTGATCGGAACCCCCTCTTGAACTTGGTTCTCCAGACTGCTGCGGTGGTGCGTGAAGGAATCTTGGCCCTTACTCAGAATGAGCTGTCCGCAGAATTTTTAGTGGTGTTTTTTCATTTACTCCTATGGGGGTACCTAGATGTGAGCTGAACACAGCCATTTGTGACAGTGGTGACTCACAACCCCCTCACAGCTGTGCTGGACATAGTGTTTTACAGAAGCCTGGTGAGCTAGAGCAACTTGCGGTAGGTGGTGCTAAGTTTAATTCAATTTGGAGTCGAAATGCACAGTGGGAAATTTCTGCACGAAGAGGGATACCATAAAGTTGCCTGAAAAGTTTCTGATCCCCTGAGAAACTTGGCAAATTCAGCTAGATTTGATTCTGAGCTGTTTTGCTAAACAAAAACATATTTTAACGAAGTTTTTAGCTTTTTAATTTTCTTTGTATTTGGCTTTAAACTACAGCATTTCCAAAATTAACCTGAGAAAGCTGTGTCCTCTGCCCTTTTCATTTTCACCCCAGCAAGTTATGTAGAGAACTAATGCATCATTAGACTCAGGCTGATGAAATGAAGTCTCAGGGCTCAGATAATTTCTTCACTTTGTTTCATCGGTGAGACAGGAAGACGGTAAGAAATCAAGCCAGTTGAGTCTTCTTATCTCTGCTCCATGATAAGAGAAGATCTAAGGCCCTGACGTGATTTTCATGTGGCAAAATCAGATGGAAAGTGAAGGGTGAGACCAAAGTCAGACAGGAAAGAGACCACTGAGAGCGTAATCCCTTTTCAGGCTAAGGCCTGTCAGGCTGGAGAGCTCTCTAATGTGTACTTTATTTTTTAATGCAGGACCACAGCGTCGGGCCAGGAACGTGAAGACCGTAATTGCGTTTTTATAGCTAGCATTTACATTCACACTCTCTTTCTCAGCAGTTTACCCATTTTATTAAAATTAAACTCTGTGTGTCTTCACTTCTGTGTTGAGCACCTGCAGATAAATGGTTACCATGGGACCGTCAATACCTTCTCACTCAGTGTATGTGTTTCCTTGGGGCCTCCAGTGAACTGACGGGTTTTCCCCCTGTTTCTGTCACCCTGATTAGGCAGACTAGCACACCATACACTTGCTTGCACTTACAGTAAACACAGTGAAAACCCAGTCTTTGGGGAGGCCATTGGTTTTTCTGAACTTCTCATTAACGTGGCTGTTGAAGTGCTCCATCCGCCAAACTGTCTCATCTTTCAACTGGCTGTACCGGGAGTTCTTCTTCTGCATGTACTGAGAGGTGGGGAACAGAGCAAAGGGGGTATTAGATTTCTGGCGGTGAAGAGTAACTGGGAACCGGCTTGCACGGCAGACATCCAACTACCCTGAGTTGTTCCAGGCATCTGGAGTTGGGAAAGAACCTCAGGGTCAAGTTGTGGGGGTGGAGGGAATAGAGCCCCTCGCTAGCAGAGCTAAACCTGAGCGAATGTGCTGCCTCCCATTGTACAACACTGCCACAGGCAGAAACGTGCCTGACCCACATGGACGTTGTAGACACAATTACCCAAGGCCTCTGTCAGAGCGGTGTTTTCTCTGTGTGTGTGTGTAGGTATGATATGTCGGGACCAGCAGCTGGCAGACAGGGAGAGGTGCTTTCAAGTCATAGTCATGATATTCTTTGGGCTAAATCTGGCTCCAGTGTCTATCTGCCTAGTACTCTCCTAGAGGAGAGTACATCTGGGTGAGATGTATGGATGTATCCCCAGAGGAAACCAAGGTGAAGGCTTCTCTCTTCCACTGTCTCATTAATCCCTGCGTCAGCTGGAGTTTATCAATAATGGGGTGTTTACATTGTTCCATCAAAGGCAAGTCCCCTTTCCCTGTGAAACAGCTGGCCTTGGCTGCAACTCCATCTGTGGGACGGTTACTGTGAGGTCGCAAAGCTTCTGGTTAGTGACGCTGTCTCTGCTGCCTCTTGTCTTTTGGAAATACAGTAGGAAAATGGCTGATTCCAGGTGGGATGAAAGGGTAGGAAGGGAACGAGAGCAGAATCAACTGTAATTTGAAGAAGTCTGGCCTATTACCGGCCGCTCCTGTAAATTTCGTTTCCCTCCTCCCAGCAGGAACCCAGATAATTTATGTTCTGCTAATAAACACCTGTCCTTTGTTTAATATCACTTGTGCCATGGGATCCTACCTGAGCACCTGAATTCCCGTGTGGATAGCTCTCTAGCTCAGCAAACAAACTATTCCAGGAAAACAAGTGGCATACTGATAATAGCATGTATTGCAGGAAGCAGCTGTAAACTGCTGTCCTGAACTGCACTTCTACAGGAACCGTAAAACTCCAACTGAAATGGGCTTGTCTGATACCTCTTTAATGCGTATTTTGCTAGTTCTTAGAACACAGCGTGACACTTGGGAGGACAGAAGGGCTTTAAAAGCAAACTGTTTTCTTCCTTCCGATTCTTTTGATTCTCTTTCATCAGGGCCAGTTCTAACTACTGAAAGGCCTCATTTGAAGCTAAAACGCAGGTAGATCTGAGCAAGGCAGGCTCCTATTTTGTATGACAGGAGATGTATGGGGGTACAAGCCAGAACAGTCCTGTTCTGTTGTAGCTCTCATTTGAGAAGCAAGACAAGCAAAGATGGAGATTTAAGAATGATGGCTCTTGAAGAACACATCTGCATCTTACATCATTATGATTATCATGTTTAAGCACAACAGGATCAGCAAAATCCTTAGCCAAGATTAAGGCTCCTTTGTGCCAGGTAGCTGCAATCAAAGGCTTCTTGCCCTGAGAAGCTTATGGTCTACAGATACATGAGAGCATAATGGCAGGAAAAAGAGGTCCAGGGAAAGAAATTGTCAGGTTCAGCAGAGGACTGGTCCATGGCAGAGAACGGAACCTTATCCAGTACTGCTTCTGTTCAGCCTTGTTGCCATGCCTGACCATAAGCCCACGTCCATTTCCTGGGTGCACGGATTTGGCATGTGTGAGGCATGCATTTTTAGCCTTTCAAAAGTCTTTTTTTGCTTCCCATCTCTGTCAACCACTCCCTCCCCTTCTTCTGAACTAGGTGCGCTTAGTTTACCTGATTGGTCAGATGAACAGTCAGATCATCAGAAGCGGCATCATAATTGACACAGGTCAACCGGACATAACCCTGGGCAAAAAACACCACGTATGGTGCTGTGCAGGCAATGAGGAGGTAAGACCGGACATCAAACTTCTTCCCTTCCAGGAGCAGAGGTTGGTGAATATACCTGTCAGAGCAGTATTTCAACACGCGTCACCAACAAGTAGCCATAAGACATGGCAATGCAAAGCTCACACAAAACCCCACAGCCACACGGAACTAACCTGGTCGCCCCTTTTTCAACACTGGTTTTAAGGTGAATGGCAGCAGAGGGCGCTCGTAGGAGAGGTTAGAAGTGCCTAGAACAGCTCCGCTCAAGAGGAATAGAAGCTGTGCCGAGTCTTGGGAGCGGGAGGTAATTAAAGATTTACTAATACTTACTGGAGAATATACAAAGTTTATGTCTGAACACAAAGAGCCCTTCATACACCACCATTTCTTTTATTGCCAGAGTGGTGTAATCTGGGAATTGTTTCCCTTTATCATCTAAGGTTGCTGGACGTCTGCATAAATAACAAGGATATGCTGTTAAAACAACGCTAACAACAGTTTTCAAAGGAATATGGAGCCTCATTCTTCAGAACATCAGCCATTCCTCACTAATAGAAATCAAGATGATATCTAAGACAGGGTCCAACCACTTCTTCCCCTGGCGCTGCTGCTTGTCTATGTCAAAGAGCACATATTGGTCTAACTAAGGCCCTTGGTCTAATTTTGTCAGGCAGTCATTGTTTTGCCCCATATACTGGCTGCTGCATAAAGGCAGTCCAGCCTATTGCAGAAGGCCTGTAAGATCATCATTCCAGTTTACCATCTTACAAATCTCTCCTGCCCTTTTCAATGAGGCCAACCATTCCTTTGTTACGAAAAGAAATGTTTGGATGAACGAAGCAGAGAATATTGCTTGCTTTGGCTGGGGCGGCTCTTGGAAAGGTTGCTGTGCGCTGTGTTCTCTTGCAAGATGAAGATGCCAAGCCATGACAGCAGAATGTCAGGTCAGTGTGACGAATTGGTATCATCACTTTGCCAGGACACGCAGTGATCACTACATGGCAAAATGTGCTTTTGCCATGCCAATGCTACAGCGTTGTCACGAGTGTATCACATTGTCATTGCTGGCATGTCATGACAGTGCCAGGCAATGTCATGCGTGCGTGGGCACCTTGAAGTTGAGAGTGCCCTGTATGCCTAGCTGTGCACACCAAAGGCAGCATCAAAGGCATCTGGGAACTGCAGCTCCTAGGATAAATAATGAAAATGTCTTTTTTGCATTTCTCTTTGAAAGTTTTATTTACTCATCTCAAAGCACTGAAGTGATTTAATTATAATGCATTCCTCAATTGAGAGAGGGACACTGAGGCAAAGGGAAGTCAAGTGAGTTGTGTAAGAATAAGCAAGTAACGTTCAGTTGCTGAAACTGTTCTCATGACTTCTGCTGCCTTATTTTTCCCTTCCTTTTCCTGCTGTTCTGCTACTCTACAAAACATTCTAGCAGTGGCTGAGAGGGTATATATTCTACAAAGCAGAACCTTCATGGTTCTTTTATTCATGCAAGGAATAAAAAATAAAACAACCCTAACCCAAAATTTTAGTGACTGCTAGCCACCGCCTGTTGATTGAGGTATAGACTTTTGCAGCATTGAGGCAGAGTTAAGAAGATATTTGGGAGGCTTTATTAGATTGCATGGAACAGATGTTGTAGCTGTACAATTTGTAAAATCCTAGCTTTGTATAAGAAGCTGGGATAATACCTAATTGAAATTGCTTTGCACAAGGCTTTATGTATAGCATTCATGTACAGAACTGTAGTATCTGGCCTTTTGAAGTCATTCTTAAATTTCCAGACAAAGGTAAACTCAAATCTTTCTGATGACAAAGATCTACCTTGAAATGACTGAAGTGTGGATGCAAGACAGACTAACCAGAGAAATAGCCCCTCTCCCACACAATGAAATCCCATAGGTTGATGAGATGTGGCGTAACCACATTAAATACCTATGGAACAATTCAACTCTCTGAGGCCAGTGTGCTTAATCAAGCACACCACTCACACATGAATTCCCAGGCTTCAGTCTCTACCTTTGCACTATTCTTGCCTGGGGAGCCTTGTATGGCACCTTCTTATTGAGTAAGTTTTCCTCAGTGCTGTGGAGCTTGGCTTGAAGGGTGTTGACAGCGGCTGGATTTTTAAGCAGGAAAATTCCTCGCCCTTGGTTAGAGCAACTTGGTTTGCAGATCCAAATCTGTTCTTCTGCAGAGAGAATGAGTCTATTACAGTAATGTGTGTGGTACGAAACACCGACGTGCCCGTTAGCGGGCTCTGAAAACCGCTCACTTGAACGTGTGTGTATGTATATACGTACACATGCATATAGATATCAACTATTATTACTGTGTATACTGTCATGAACATTTTAGAGGATCACATAGCTATTTAAATTGGCTGCCACCATGATTAAGACAATTCACCTTTGCAAAGCTCAAAAAAGGCATTTCTCTCATCTTTTAAGTCCAGGCGAAAAGATTCTGGGAAGAATTCTTCCATCTTCAGTAACCTATGGGAGAATCAAGTACAAATTGAAAACCCTATCCAACACATTCATTCCTCCGTTACTTTCAGAAAGGATGGTTGCAAGTAGAAACTTAAGAAATGGCTTTTTTTTCCTGCTTGTAGACAGTTGTGTGTTAGTTGTATGTTTTTGCTCAGCTACCTCATTCCATAAGCTTTCAGGAATGTATGTTAGCCTTAAGACATTCTTCGTACGCTCAGTTTTTTGAAAACTAGTTGAGATGGCTGCAGGTAACCATGGTACACGATTGCCATTTGGTTTTTTGGTAGGTCAAAAATATAGGAGCAGAAATGGCAATAAGCTTCTCTTATATTTACAGTGTCTATGACACAAGAAGTTGTGGCCTTTCCAGTAGGACAATGTACCCAAAACGGGAATTACTACGACCGTTGTCTTTGGGGGACCTGGCACTCCTACAACTCCAGACATAGAAAAAGAAGAAATTCTGTCTCTGATGTATGTAGTTCTGGAAAAAAAGCGATTCAGAGAAGCGGGAGTTCTTACTTGGAATTAGAGCTCCTACTGATCTTTTTCATCACCCGCTCTTGCTCTCTCAGGCAGCATAAAAGCCCTATCTTACTGGTGAGGACTCCGTTGTTGGGAATCTGATAGAGAAGCTGTTCACCTGTATGAGGGGAGGGAAAAAAAAAAGCTTGCCCTCATTGTCCCATGCAGCAGAATCTGCAGGATGAAGCTGACTTTGCTACCGTTGACTTTCACCAGTTTGCTTTAAGGCAGTAGTGACAACTCACAGAGCAGTGAAATGACTTGCTGTAAATGTGTTTCTGTCCAACCTTGCAGCGGAACAGACCCACCTGATGGGGCTTCATGAAATGGTGCATCCCTTGCCCATGCCAAAGGTGCCTCTGCCGTCACACCATTCCAGCTGCAGAATTGCACTGAAACATACCTTATCTGCACCGCCGTATATTAGGCCAACTGCTGTAATGGCGCAGCCTGACAAATAGCCACCACATTGCCATCAGAGCTGGCAGGAGGGGAAAGGCGGCTGCTGTACGTGGACTGGTAGGGAAGCGATGACACACTCCCTCCGCCACAGGAAAGCCCGCAGCTCTGTGCCGTGATGCTCAGGCTTGCCAGGGCACAGGTCTTGACCGGCTCCCAGAAGTAAAAGAATTGCCCCAGGGGCTGTGCTTAGGGAGTTTTGTGTTTGTTATGCAAAGTACCACCCTGAGGGTGCCAGCTGCGGGAGTCCTTGATTTTGTGCTTTTCTGGTGGGAAAGCTGGCCGGGCCCTGTGAAGTCAGGATGCACCGATGAGACGAAGGGCAGAGTGCAATTCAAGAAGTTGCTTGCTAATACAGTGGAGTAGTTTGCCTTTTAGTGACTGTTCTCCCTAGATAGAGATACGGCTGGGACGTGTGGGGTGACCCATCTTGAGCTTACTTTACTTCTGTCTTCAAGTGCACCCTTCCTACCTTTTCTCCTCTCCCCACCCGCACTGCGGGGGCATCTCTAAATGCGAGGCACCCTCTGTACACAAGGCCTAGACTAGTGCTTGAGAGGTGCCAGAGTAGGCTGCATGCTGTCCCTGTGCTGCAGTTCTGTCCCCGTCCTATTGCAGCCTGTGCTCAGATCCAAAGAGGGAGGACCGCATTTCAAAAGTGATCGTGATGGTTTGTGTTTAAATCTCTGTACTGCTCATTTCACTATACTTAATTCATTTCATTGGTATCTTTTCTCCCAAAGCTATTCTCCTGTCTAAAACCCTTTCTTTAATCACCACGGCAAATCCAGCTCTGGTGTCCTGTCTGAGGTCTGCCCAGAAGTTGAGGTTACCTGTTTCTCCTACCCCCATGTGACGTCCTCTGCCCTGGGAGTCACAAGTCCAGCATTCTCAAGTTTTTCCCACTTCCCTCTCCCACTCAAGGCCCACAGGCACCTCTACCTTCTTTGAAATGGTAATAGGTCTCTCGGCACTTGATTTCACACCATTTCAGTGCGTAATCCTCTCTTCTGTTGTCATAGATACGCTGCCAGCCTCTGCTCTGGCAATAGATGCTCACACTGCATATGGAAAACAAAACAGCAAAGTAGCCTCCCTTCTATTAACAAATGCTTAGTTAGCTCATACCCCTTGAACTCCTAATAATTTTCTCTGTGAGCCTGACCTAACGTGCCCAGAAGCCCCTGGGTGGGGGGTAAGGTGGGAAGCAGTAATTAGAATGGCTGCTAGTGGACCTGCTGGTCTGAACTTGAGAGGGTGGGGTGAGTAACTGAGGATGCTAAGAACATTGTGATACAGCAGCTCTAATGAGAACTTGTACCATTTCAGCAGGGTTTTTCCAATTAGGGTGCAACTGGAATAGAAATGGAATAGAAATGCTCAGGGTCCAGTCTTAATAAGGAGCCTCTCCGCTGAGGAGTTTAGGGAGAGATGACAAGTAGCGACAGAAAAAGCTGTTTGTAGACAAAACTATGGAAACATAGCAAGGAAAGTGCTGCTTGCAGCAGAGATTCCGTGGTGCTTGCTGGTGACAACATCTCGAGAAGAGTGCCAATATGCTGGAAAGAACTCAGAAAGGAATGAATGGAACTTCTGATCTGACAATTTTTCTTGGGCAGAAATCTCTTCTTATTTTTTTTGCTTGTTTTACATTTAGCACAACAGAATGTTGATGAACAACGGTGGTTCCTAGCTCTAGTGATGATGCTAGCAGATTTGCTACATGGTGCAGCTAAGTGATTTCTGAACAGCCCAAACAGAGAAACTTTCATTAAACAAATAGAAGTATTCCCTTTCTTTGCAAAGATATAGTAGTTAGCGACTTTACCACAGGTGGCCTTCCAGTGGATACTTTCTATCTGAATTATCTTTAAACGGTTCCCCAGGTGTACCACTCCACAAAGACAGCAAATCAAAGGAAAATTATTTGAGGCCAATGGATAATGGATAACGTTGCATGATTTCATACATGGTCATACTCCTGTTCATATGAGTCTGCTGAGTGGACCTACTTACAGCCCAGCTCCATTAGATCCACTGATATAAAAATATGGTCCTGGTCCCATTGGTACTTTTGGTATCTCTTCTTCTGGCTGTTTTTCTTGAGGGCATGCCTTACCCTGTGTTTTATTCTCCTTGGACTTGACTTTGTCAAGCTCCACTTCAGAGTTGGTAGAAGTAGCTGCAAAATTAGAAATTGAGACACTTCAGATGATCTGGGACCTTCTCCATAAAACCCACATCTAGAAAGACAGCTGTTACAGAAGAAAATACTGTAAGGTAAGGGACTGCTTCAATTGGTTTTATAGCCATCGCTAGGGGCATTGTCTTAAAACAATGCAGAAATTATTGCTAATGTAACCTGGTAGCAGGTACCGTGGTCTATTAAGTGGAAAAACAGAGGAAATATAATAAAACATGTAGTAGAAGGGAACATTCCAATCAGCCCTAGTCTGTCAATGCAAAATGGCATTCTCTTACTTGGCAGGCCTCTGCTTCACAGCACTTTCCCAGATATCTTGTCTAGGTGGGTCTCAGTTCTGCCCTAAGCTGAGCACAAATCATTCCAGCGATCCAGATGGATATGGACATGGATATGAGAGAGTCTGACAGACTGCAAGGTCTAGGGAGGTGTGGAGGTACAAAGGGAGAAGGGCAAGAAGAGCCTCCTAAAAAGTGTTAGCCATACTCTGTGCACTGAAACAGCTGTTCTTCCAACTGGTAACGCCTATAGGAATTTTGACAAGCCCAGGATGTGACAGCTCTGAGGTCCCCCTGACAGGCAGCCACAAAGTGGAATGGCACACGTGAACTGTGCTGACAATGACTGAAGGGGTGGGAATGGGAAACACCCTGCCTCAAATTGGTAACTAATCATGTCAGGCTTGTGATGGTTCTGTTACTTACTCTCAGCTCCCAGGGCTCAAAAGCTGGTGAATTTGTAGGGGATAATTTTTTTTCAGCACAAAGTTAATGAGATCTGCCTAACCCGTAAGTGCTGCTGGGTTATTTGTGGAGGAGAATGTCAGAGCTTGTATCTAGCTGTAGCAGTTGGGAAGAACTTTAACTTCTTGGTCTTCTAGGAATGATAAACTAAACTGAAAACATCACTTCCAGATCTTCCTCTGTCAAGAGGTTCCCCTGTATAATACATAGCAAAAGCTTTTCTTTTGCAAGGCAAAATGAGACTCCATGACTTTTCCCCACCACCCCCATGCTTTGTCCATATTTCAGGTCTCTGATGTTCTTCATACAGCACAGACAATTCTCTGGTGCAGTCCCCAGTCATGTTCTGAAGCATAAAGGTGCTTCAAAGCAGCTGAAGCAACTCAACTACCGTCTCACCCTGACAGAGATACAGGCCAAGAGGTCTAACACTGTGCTTTATAATGTATTTTTTTTAACTAAAGTAGCAAAGCTTGTTCAGGGTCCTGTCTGATACAACTAGACTGTCATACGCTGTGGTACTGTTGGAAAAAAATATGGTACGTGAGCGATTTCTATCTGATCAATCTTCACATTGTTCAAATGTTCTCCAAACGGATCAATGACATTATAATACATAAATGAGATGAAGGACATTATCAGATTGGAACTTGAATCACATTTGGATATGAGTGAAAGAATGGCCAGTAATGGGAAATTTTATTTTGAATATGGTTGCTGGTAAAGGATTTCAAAAGGGCAAACCGTACGGTTTCAGAAGTGGTATCTAATGTCATCAGCCTCAAAACTATTGCTGGATTTATCACCCATTATCTTGGTCTTAGCAAGAGAGTTCTGTTCGTGGTCTGATTTCGTGGCTGGTAAGTCATAGGAATTGTGAGTCTGGCACTTGCTTCCAGAACAGCTTGTGACTACTAATATAACTGGCATTTGGGATACTGATACCCAAACCACTGCCTCCAAACCTACAAAAAGCGTACATAGGCTTAATACTGCCAGGGGCTGAGAAACTATGCCTCTGGTTTCTCTTCAACTTGGCTACGCACAAAACTTTTGGGAACAGTAAAGCCTGTGAATAGAAGACAAAGTCCACTCTGTCCTAGTTCTGTTCCTACCGGGATGAGGAGGTAGCCGGGGAGGAGGGAGCAGGAAGGAAGCAGATGACAAGACTGGAGTTACCTACTCTTTGGGCTGTTCTTTTAACGTTATTTGTTACAGTACGTCCTGTGATCACACGAGTAAAACCTTCCATCTCAGTGACAAAACTCTTCTGACTTAAGTGGAGCAAAGGTATTGGACATTGTTATCTCTCATTTTACAAGCACTTGTTTTATGTCCTCGTTGCACTCCACCTATGAACACAGGTGCAGCCCACAGTGAACCCTGCGCCCACAGCTATTGAATTTCCCGGCAGGCGCCCACACCTGGTTCCGTTTGCTTTGGAATAAAGGAAGTAGATTGCAGACTCTCTGAGGAGGGACTTGCTTTAAATTTCTGCTTCATGTAGTACTTGGCACCAAAGGGTTCTAACGGTAAAAGCCTCAGCGTTGTTACAAACTGCAGCATTATCTGTGCTAATCCCTGGGCTCCTGCCTTGAATTTCCTCCTTAAATTGAAACCAAAACAAACCAAAACCCCATATTGAACAACCAGTTCAAACAAGCCAGGGCACAACGTCCATGATGGAGAACACTGCCTCGGCAATGTCTTTTAACCCACTGAAATGAGCTTTCTCCACGGTGAATTTCAAGCTGCCGGTTACTGGTTGCGTGGAGCCGAGGCTACGCTGGCTGGTTGCAGGGCGGTGGGACAGTTGCAATGGGGAGGGCTCTCCAGCAGAGAGCGGTGCCTGGCTCTTCGGTCACTAGCTCATTTTGCCATCGCGGCACCAGACCAGGCGAAAACATAACATATTCTGTCTTCCTCTAGAAGAGACTATCATTAGCCACCCAGTCAAAGTTTTTGAACAAACTGTTTGAAAGTAGCTCAAAGACGGGGTTAATGCATTACGCATAAGCGTCAGGCAAATTAAAAGACACGCAGCAAAGTGGTACAGCTCAACCGTTTCCTCGACCAAATGCATTTTATGAAAAGCTTGTACCGCAAAGCGGTACCACCCCTCCAGCTACTGGTATCTTCCACGAGGGAGGCTGATCTCTCTGCTCTGCCTTAGCACGGTGTGTTATAGTGCTGGTCTTGTTACTCTTTGATATGGGAACGTAAATATTTATTTATCTATTTTTAACATTTGATTGCTCATTCATACCTCCTGCGAGAGCTTTTGCCTCTTTTATCACCTCCCTCCTTGTCTGGATTGCTAAGAAATTAACCAATTTTAAACAGTCCCATTTATCCTGAGACATGGACACATGAAATATCCTGCAATGATTGAAGTGCTGGTAAGGTATTCTTCCATTAGTCTGAACACGTACTTGTCTCTCCCTCTCTCATCTTTATACAGAGACCCAGGGGGCAGGAGCCTTTTATCTTCTTTTCTGTCTAATTATGGAATCTCCCAGTATTAAAGATGAACCTGTATTTCATTGAATCTTTCGACATGTATTATTTAAGCGTGAGTCCCCTTAGCCTTCATTTGCTTGTGTGTTTTGCATCCTTAGATGGCTAATTATTAAAGAGGTAAGGACAGACAGGGACGGAGGGGGTTATTCTGTTGCCCGATTGCCTAAATTTCAGGCAAAGGCCTTTTCACTTGTTTATCAGAGGTGGGATTAGATGCTTGTTGGGACTTGAGCTCTTAGGAAAGAACAGGCAGAGTGGCTTGGCTTGCAGACCTAATCAGCAGAGAGGAGTGGGGATTTCAGAGGCTGAGTTTGTGCACCTGAACTCAGTTCTACGTTGTCCTGTGAAAGAGCCTGTCTCTGTCCAAAAGGTATTTGTGGCGGGGAGCGGGGGAGAGCCCTTGGGGAAACAGTCTTCTAACTCGTCACATAAACTAGCAGCACGAAATTAAACAGCATGATTCCGTTCCGGAGAGCCCGCACAGAGGTTGTCTTCACGCCGGCTGCAGCCAGTAAATTAACATTGCTCGAGACAGTTTTGAATTCGTCTCATTCATTTCTTTGGGAATTGTGTGTTGGCGGTGTCTGTGTAAGAAGCTCCTGTCTAATCTCAGCTCTGCTTTCAGTGCACACGGGGATAAACAGACTGGCAGGGAGATGCAGTCTGCTTTGTGTCATTTGTCTACCAAAAGAAAAAAAAAGCAGAGCTTAGAACACAGAACTTCCTTTTTCCCTTTTCCATGTAAAGGAAGGTTTAACAGAATAGCAGCTGACCGATTTCTCTAAAATCCAGAGGTTATATCTAGCTGAAATTTTCATTTAAGAAAGCTGAATGATCTAATCATCTTTCTAAAGACAAGCATTGCCCTAAAGATTACCTCTGTATTAAAAAGGTCTTCATTTGAAATGAATACATTTTTTACTGCCAATGCACAGCGCTGAGTTCAACAACAGATACGTCAGAAAAATAATGCTGTTGGTTTTGTCATTGAAAGATTTGTGGCATTTCAGCCAAATTATCTCTCCGTAAAAAAGTAATGGTTTCTTTTCGGAGGAGCTGCTTGCTAAAGGATAGCTTGTATTTTTCTTCAAGTCTTGAACAAAACACTTAAAATGTTAGTATAAAATATTTTAATATCACTAGATATTTGTCAGCCAATATCAATAATTTCTGTCTTGAATTATTTTTGAAGCAAAGGGATGAGCTTGTATTTTCACAGGGTTTAAATGAAAACGGTGTAAATTACGTGCAATATGTCTGTATTTTAATAATAATAATAATAATGTAATTTATGCCATAAGTTAGTGGCCAGCGCTTTGGCTAGTATAAGGAGATAAAACTGCCTTGATACTGGCATTAACTGAGAACCTGGCCATAGGACTCGGCACAATTAATGGCTAAAAACAAGGATACAAGATTCACCTCTGTCAGCTGATAAGGATCCAGCCTGTTGTCGGTTACTTCCTTGCACCATGGATTTGGTGTTCTTCTTCCTCTTGCTTAGCACAAAGGCCATCTCAGCCTAGCCTGCAGAAGGACAGATCATCGTCAGCTGCTTTGCCAGAGTCATGAGTGGTCTGGGAAAGTTTGTAAGATGTATTTTTCTCTTTGTCACCATTTGCTCTGTTGATTTTAGGTGCCATTTTTCACCATCTTCTGCGGTTTTTTCATTTGTTCAGAATCTTTGACATAGTTGTTCAGCTGGGAACACACAGGCTCTACTTTCTATCTACAGCTTCTTACGGGTGGTCTCTGGTGATAAGCGTGTTGGTGACTGTGCTGAGGATCTGAGTGCTTTTGTATCTAATCTTTGTGCTCTTTCTACTTCCTTCCCATTGATAGCACTCAATGCAGGTCTTGGGTTGCCTTGTAAATTTGCTCTAAGTAACCGGGTGCTTTCCCTAAGTCTGCTGCTCATGGTGGAGCAGTGTCCAAGAGCTGTTTTCAGATATATCTGGTGTTCTTTGTCTATGGCATCATCAGGCTCCAGTTGTTCAGCCTTGGGATAAAAGACAGGCTTCTTTTCAGGAAGCTTGAAAGCCGAGACCCATTTTTTGTCTTTGCAATGGATATGAAAACAACAAATGAGATATTCTATCTGGAGACGGAAACCATAATGCTGAATAATTGTTGGACATAAGGTAGGCAGAATATTTTTAGCAAGTTTCATGCTTGGAATAGTCAGTTGTAAAAAAGGACTTGTTCTGAGTCAAGGCTGCAACTCTTCTGTAGGAAGGATGCTTACCTTAGAAAGCGTAGGGCAACTGAAACATCAGCTAGAATTAGAGAGGGAAATATATGTTTGCAATGACTTACAAGCAAAAGTAACAAATAGCCTAAGAACACCAAATAAATGGAGCATACATACTGTGTAGGAAGTCCATAAGAAGGACAAATGCAAAAGTGCTAGTCACTGTAAGTATTCTTATGTAGGAAGATATAATGCAATAGGCTAAATCATAATATTGAGCTACTGAGTTTACAGTTAGATATATTTAAAGCATATTTCCCGTTAAAGACTGTCCTCCCCCAAAGTGATGTGTTGGAGTGGGTAGGCAAGGAAGGTAGACAGGCATGTCAGTGTCACTGATTCATTGTGTCTGTGGCCATGTCGCCAAGCATTACAGCGCCAGTTCCCCTATCTGCCTGTTTGAGTAATAATTGCATAATTGCACCTGGGTGGGACTGGAATTCTCATTTTGTAACACAGTCAAAGACTGACTGTTCAACTCTACTTGTTTGAATGGAGTTTTATTTTCAGTTGGAGGCCAAAGACCCCTGCAGTTTCCCATGACATGACATGTTAAAGAAAAAGAAACTGTCTCCAAAAAAATCTGAGGTTTAGAGAAAGGCAGGTGTTGCGGAACCTCAGGGCACCTGCCTTTCTCTAAACCTCAGTCTGGCAAAGCCACAAGGGGAATTAGGGGGAAAAAGGGTTCTTTCAGACCCCAGTGGAAGGTAAGGAGGGTGAGTCTGGCAGAGGGCTTTTGCCAGACAGTAAGGTGAAGCTGTAAGATCCCCCGAAGAGTGACAGGGAATAAGAAGCTGTTCCTCTAACAACACTCTCGCCCTCGGACTGGGAGGCGTCCTGACGGGGAAAGAACTGACAAGAGTTTTCAAAGAGGGGATTTGTTAGACTTAGGTTAGGGTCATGACTCCAGCACAGTGCGCGGAGCAAAGGCTGCTCTGGGTGGAACTGTAGAGAAAGAGGGAACATGTGGAGTGGGGAACAGGAAAGGTAAGTGGTGTTTTATGCTCAGGTAGGTTTGCATTTGCTAGTCCAGTTGCAGTAAGGAGTTTTGCAGTGCTTTCTCCTGCACTCAAAATGCACAGGTCAGGAAAGGAGTAAGGCTCAAGCATGTCGTTGAAAAACACACATGAAGAAATCCTCATCATGCTGAGGAGATACTTAGTTTTATGTTTCTCTTTCAGTTGTCCCTGCTGTGATGTTGAACATCAAAAGCAGAAATCTTCCTCTCGGCCAAAAGCAGCTCTTCTGTTCTGCTGGCGTTCTACTATTTGCTTGTTTCTTATCCCAGCCTCTTCCTGTAGTTTCATTTTAGGGTAAAAGCTTCTCAGAAGTTTCTGTTCTCATGTTGTTGAGCACTTACACGTCACTTCCCTGTGAGGCTGAAGGACTCGAACTGAGCAAATAACTGCTTGTGAGGAATTAATGCACCCAGTGGCCTCACAGCTTGTGTGTGCCTTTCCATCCAGATACCAAGTTGTGTAGAAGTCATTTTACACACTCTCCTGGCAAAGTAAAAGGATCTTAAAACAGTAGAAAGAAAAGTCTGCAGTAAGTGAAAAGCCTCCTCCTTATGTCTGTCTGCTCAATGATGTATGTCTCTGTAGCACCTTCTTTGTAACAGGTACCAGTACATACAGTGATTGCTGGTGATAACAACGAGATGGTGCTGCTGCATCCAGAATTTATGTAAAGCCTTTTATATCAAAGAACAACATTTTAGGCATCATCTTGTTTGTCTGGAGAGGTACTACCTCTTTGTTCTGCAACAACTCAACAAAACAGTGCAGTGTTTTTACCAACGTATATCTGATGACAGCAGGTTGCCCAGTTTTGGTGATCTGATGAGATCTCAGAGAAGGGGCTTTGAGGACTTGCCATGTCATGTTTGGAGTAAGGGCCTGGAACACTCACTCCAAATATCATAATACAGATGCAAATAGCTGTTTAGCTTATAAGTTGGCATTGCTGTCATCAGATGACACAAAATGGCTTCAGCATCTTATTGATAAATCACTCTGTACCGTATCTCCACGGAGATTAGAGAGGCATTCTGTACAACCACAACTTCTTGCCTTTTAGCCCCTTCTTTCAGGGGCTAAAACCATATCTTAAGCTAACAAAAAGTAATGGAAATTCTAACCTTTGCTCGGCAGTTTCTAAATACGTTAGCAGAGCTGTAACTGTTCCCTGTCCTGCCTTCAGTTCGGAGAACTTGCACTTGACTTCTAGTCGGGCCATAAACAGCTTCTAAAGAAACAAACCATCCTGTGATGGAGCAGGTTTGCGCTCTGGAAGAGTACCCGCTGCCTTATTTCATTGACCGAAGAAGGGTGGATTCGCAACAGCAAGCAGAGACTCAGAAAGCCAGCCTGCTTCTGCTTTATAAATAGCAGGATTCCGTTGTGCCTGTCTGGGAGGGTCAGAAAGCCTTCAGTGCTATAAACACGGGCTGATCCCCTAGCAACAGCTGCCTGGCTACTGTTGGTAGTCATGCAAGGGGTTCTGGTGTTAAAAATGCAAAGGGATTTCTACGGATGTGTGTGCTTTTAGATAAAGCTATCCAAGGGCAGCGTTACGGGCGGGCTGCTGAGCGAATCGGCGTGTGTGTATCAGAGTAGAATTGCGTAACAGAAAAATAGGAAAACCAGTTCTCTGAGTGTCTGCTGGCAGGCACAGTTCTGCTCACTCTTCTGTGGCTTTCCTTAAGTCTTCTAAAGGTCAGGCTTCATCTCTGCTCGAGACGTCCTTGCCACTTGCGCTGCTCCGAATAGCAAACCAGAAAGCCCGATTTCATTCTCTCCAATGCACAATCACCAATAGGACAACAGAGTAAAGACATGAAAATATATACTTTGTCTGTAATGTAGTTTTCCTTTCTTGGGGCTGAGTTTGCATAGCTCAGTACTTTGTTGGACTTCGTTAATGCTGAGTACTGGAGTTGGTCCAGTGCAGAGTGTGCTGTTAAATTTGCCAAGACTAAGTCGTGAAACCAGGTAACAGGGCAAAATTAGCATCCTAAATCCTCGTAAGTCCTTCCGTTTCTTTAGTGAACAGAGGCAAATGCTTCTGCAAAGTTCTGAAGAGCAACTCAGAGGCCAAAGGCAGCTGCTGCGGCAGCCCTCGAGAGCCAACCACGACTGCTCTGTGCAAAGGTGAGGTCTGCATCAGCAAATACATCCATGCAATAGAAGTGGATCTGTAGAGGGAGGGAGTACACCTTTTCCATAACGTGTGCACTGTGGACACCAGATCTTCAGTGCCATCCATTACTGGTGGGACAGGGTGAGTGCCTTCCCTGGTTCAGCTCCGTCCAAACGCAATCCAGTCTGTGAGCTCAGAGGCCACCCAAGAGTTGAGCCAAAGCGTGCTGAGGAGGAATGATCGTCATATTTCTGTGAAAATGGCATGCCTGATGTGATCAAAAGCACACCTGCAAACTCATCTCTAGCCGTTAAAAAAGGCAGTGGTGACACTGTCAAAACACAGCTCACGCTGATGCGAAATGACACTGATGTATATAAAAGACATAAATTCAAAGATATTTTAAAAAGGGGGAATAAGCTAATGATAGTGTGAGATAACTGCCAAATACAGAGGTTCCTCTTAGAAGACTCCCTATAATTGGTTATTGAATAGTTTTATTGTGTCACTAAGCTGCAGCTACTCGTGAGCTGAGCCTACAATAACCCAGGGATTAATTGGGTGTAAAGGAAAGGAAAAGAAAAGAAAGGAGAGGAAAGAAGAGGAGAGAGTCCTGCATTCCCCTCTTCATCCCAAACCTCATAAGGGCCTACATGTGTTTCCAGGAGTCTGCGAACGCTGGGCTAAGTATGGAAAAGAAACAACTCTACGGTTTTGGGTGTTTCTCCAAAACAAAGTTCTAACCAAATGGAGTGCATCCATTGCCAGTTTTAGGACTAAATGAACCATTTTATGACTTTCACAAATCACTATTTCTATAGGAGCCTCTCCTCCCTCCCATTTTTGTTTTTATTAGACCATTAATTATCTGAGTAGCTAAAACAATGGGACCTTGATTTTTTCAGGCAGCTGCTGTGTGCTACCAAACTAGCAATAATAAAGGACTTTGACACTTATGGAGCCTCAGTCAAAAATAGAAAGGCCTACTTATGTAGCCTTAAATTCCTCTCTCTACATTAAAGATAGAAAGGCCTATTTATGTAGCCTTAAATTCCTCTCTCTACATAGATTTTTCTGTCCTTCAGATGCAGGATCAAAAGAATAAGGTGGGGTTTTTTTTGTGACCTCAGCTGGATATGCACAAAGAGTAGGTCATCTCCAGGTTAACATCAGAAGATAAAGCTTGGAAAGGTCTGCGTTTACTCCCAGGCTCTCACGCTTCCAACTGCAGACACAACCGTTCAATTATTGCCTACCCAGAAAACCTCGGCCACATCTGCCAGCAGCACCCGAGATGCTGAAATCCGCTCTGTGAGGAGAGAGCTCCCCTTCCAGGGAACACATACAGCTCCTCACAATTAAAACTACACGGGAGGAAGAATGAAAATCCAGCAGTAAACCTGTGTTTTCTTCTGTGGTAACTCCACCCCCCCAACCAAAAGGGATGAGAAAAGTTGATGGAAGGTGGAATTTGGCTTAGATTCAATCTCTCTCTGGGTTGGCCCTGTATCCTCCAATGTGGACGTGCCAAGCCAGTGTGAATACTCTGGCACTCCTCCCTGGCGGTCACAGTGACCTTCAAGAACATTCTCCGTATTTTCCTGTTCGTTCACAATGCCTCTGATTAGCTCCAGTGCTCACGCAGAGCCAGGCAGGATCCTGTCCTTGCCTTACCTTCAACCTTCCTGGATTACCTCTCATGGCCAACCCACCCAACCTAATCTCTCTGGTCATGCAGGGAACAGCGTGGAGTGGGAGGACAGCAGTGTTGCAACTGCTGTACTGCAAATACTTTCAGCAAACGTTACACCCTCTAGGAAATATTGCCTAATTGTTGGAGAAGGGGAGAGGCCGACAGTTACAGAGTTAAAGGAGGCATTTCATTCACCTGAGACCTTGATGTGTGCTGCTTCAGTTTTCCTGTGCGTACAGTGAAATGAGACATTGCTTAGAGAATTACCAGGGAAGACTGAACTATCTATTTGCCCTGTGTTTTGAGATCCTAACACAGGCTATTTTAAATGCACTTTGGACACCTATTTCCCCGCCCTTTTCTGTTTGAATCTCTAGTGCTAAGCACGTAATTCAAAGAACGCTGGAGGTTTTCCTTTGGATGGGAGGAGGCAGGGAGGGCGAAGGGGCCTTCATCACCTCTCCCTCTTCTGCCCAGCTGCCTGTTTACATGAAACCTGCACGAATGTAGGAGGCCTCTAAAAACTGAGTTTTGTAGAACTTGACCAATAGGTTTAAAAGTCATTAGAGTAAGAAATGGCAAAGACAAAGTGACTGGTGAGCCTTATTATCTTGGAAAACCAGTCTCAAAAAATAACATACAATAGAAAAGAACGTGTACTGCCAACACAGGTACAATTAGAGACAGCGCGTGTTTAATTCACGGTAGTTTGTCTGTCAAAGAGTTTCCGTGACTTGATTAGCTATACAAGCAACATTTGAGTCATCTGTTTTGGGGGTCAGACAGTGGGACAGCTTGCTGCTGCGTTTGGTCTGTTGTTTAAGTGTATAAAGTTGGAATGTTTTGATGTGAAAGGCCCATTTGTGTTCCATATTTCCAAAAGTCTTACGGGATCCGTACGAAATACAAGTATAACAAACTAGTCCCTTGAATATAAAATATACCAAGATTTGTATAAGAAATCTATTTCCACTATAGAAGATGCAATAATAAGGTTATAATTCTTTCCCAAGGTTCTCATTAAATCCAAGCTACAAAAGCAAGGAGTGCTGTATAAAACAAAAACTAGTAAAAATTCAAATATTAAACCACAGAAAATGCCTTTGAAAGAATAAATGGTCTACATAGTTACTTATGCAGAACCTTCAAGCAAGCAGCTTCAACAGCCAGGAAAACAATGGAATAGAGAGCTCACGTCACACATCGACAGAAGCTGCAGGTAGAAAAGACAGCAGGTCTCAGAGGGTCTGAATTTTTCTCAGTTTTTGTAAGCACCTAATGGATGGATTTCACAAAGCATACTGTGGAAGGATGCAAGCTACGTAAACACATGGTAATATTTTCTTGCTGAAGAAAACAATCGTAGCTTTCCTGCAGGAATATTATGCTTTTTGCTGCTTCTCTCTATAAATAGATGTGATTTGAGGACAGAAAACTACTGTTTCAGTGGCTTGTGAGAGATGCCTTAGCAGCTCCTGATCCTGATCATCCCGGTGTTCAGGTGGGCAGCGCTATTCCATCCAAAAGCCGCTGAGCCAAAACCAGCGCTCGGGGCTGGCATCAGCTTCAGCCATGAGGCGACAGCACGGAGGTTTCACCGCCTGCTGTCGGTGGGAGAGCGGAACTATCTAGACAATCTCTTTCATTCAAAGATTTTTTAGGAGTGACTCATGTGCTGGTGGTGCGTGTGCTCCGAGTGCCCTTTTTCATAGCTAACTGGAGGGTCAGAACAGCACGTCTCTCAGAAAACAATGTTTTAATCATGTTTGGAGGCTGCTTCCCCCACCGCCTCCCCCCGCACACACAAATAGAATAATTCCCAAAGTACCTCTGGAGCTGAGACGAGGTCAATTCCAATGTGTTGGGTTTTTTTTTCCTGGCTTGGCATTGCTATTTTCCAACAGTAGCAGTGTTTTTTACAGAGAGTGCTTTTACAGGGGGTTACAGCACCATCCGGGAGGGAGAAACCCACCTTGTGGAGGCAGCTAGGAAGGACTATGCACGGTCATGTACAGGTATTTTCTTGAGTGTGCAGCAGGGCTGTAGGGGTCAGAAAGCATGAACTCCCCTTGGTTCTGCAAGAAAGCCACCGTGAGAGACGGGGAAACTCATGTCCTCTTCTAGACTTTCGTTTTCTCACCTGCACGATGGAAAAAACCAATATTTACATGTTGTGGACTTTAACAGTAATGGATAAATTGCTTTGATATGTTTGTTAAACAATGCATCCCAGTCGTGAGCTGTGGGGCCCCCGCCCAGAATCAAGCTGCAGTCATGGCTTGTGTAGGTTGTATTTCAGTACCGGAGGGGAAGCAATAGGAAGCAGTGCAACACGCATCAGCTTTCCCAAAGAAGCGTATCAGTCTAGCCCTGTCTCTCACTGCGCAGCAGGCATGCAAGCCGC